GCACCTCTCAAACTGACAGTGAGTTCACTGATGGCCCCCGCCCTTTTTTTTGGCTAAGGCAATAGGGGTTAAGTGACTTACCCAGGGTCACAGAGCTGATAAGTGTTATGTGTCTGAGGCAAGATTTGAACTCAGGTCCTTCTGACTTCAGGACTGGTGCTCTACCCACTACAACACCTCACTGCCCCCACTGATGCCCTCTTTACAAAGACCAGCACCTTGTTGTTATTTCCCTACAGGAACAGATATATATGGCACCTGATATAAAGTCAGCCAAACCTAAGTGGAGCTCTCTTCCTTCATGCCTAAAGGCCAATCTAGTATATGCCCAGGCATGGACCTACATGTAGAAAAATATTTATAGCAACTCTTTTTGAGGTGGCAAAGAATTTGAAATTGAGGGAATGCCCATCAACTTCAGAACAGCTGAACAAGTTATGGTATGTGACTGACATGAAATACTATTGTGCTACAAGAAATGACAAGCAGGATGATTTTAGAAAAACCTGCAAATTCTTATATGATGCAAAGGGAAGTGAACAGAACCAAGAGAATGCTGTACACAGTAACAGCAATACTGTCAAGATGATCAGCTGTGAAAGGCTGAGCTGCTCGGATCAAGACAGTGATCAAGACAATTCAAAAGCATCTCTCCACCTCCAGAGAGAACTGATGAACTCTGAATGCAGATCGAAGTATAGCGTTTTACTTTATCATTCTTCTTTAATTTTTTCTCTGTATCTTCTTTTGAAACATGGCTAATATGGACATATGTTTTGCAAGACTTTACATGTATAACTGATATCAAATTGCTTGCCTTCTCAAGGAAGGGGAGGGGCAAGAGGGAATGAGAGAATTTGGAGCTCCAAATTTTTTAAAAAATCATTGTCGAAAAAATGTTTACATGTAATATTTAGTGAAAAAAAATAAATTTTTAGAAAATAAATTAATAACAAACACTTAGCTGCATGACCTCAAATAAATCACCTAATCTCTCTCACCCTCAATTTCTCATTTATAAAAGGGTAATGTTTGTACTACCTACCTTCAAAATTGTTGTAAGGCTAGGTACATAAAGAACTATATCCATCCCAAAGAGATCATAAAAATGGGAAAAGGACCTACATGTACAAAAATACCGATAGCAGCTCTTTCTGTGATGGCAAAGAATTAGAAATTAAGGGGATGCCCATTAGCTGGGGAATGGCTGAACAAGTTGTAGTATATGAATGGAATGGAATACTATTGTGCTATAAGAAATGATGAGCAGGCAGACTTCAAGAAAGACCTGGACGGACTTGTATGAACTGATGCTGAGTGAAGTGAGCAGGACCAGCAGAACAATGTACACAGTAACAGCCACATTGTACGATGACTAACTTTAATAGACTTAGTTCTTCTCAGCAATGCAAGGACCTAAGACATCTCCAAAAGTCTCATGATAGAAAATGCTATCCACATCCAGAGAAAGAACTATGGAATTTGAATGCAGATTGAAGCATACTATTTGCTATTTTTTTCTTCTGTTCTGTTTTATTTCCTCTTTCTGGTGGTTCCTCCTATTGGTTCTAATTCTTCCTTACAACATGACTAATGTGAAAATATGTTTAATAGGAATGTATATGTAGAGCCTATATCAGATTGCACACTATCTTGGGAAGGAAGGGGGAAAAAATTTAAAACTCAAAAGCTTATGGAAGTGATTGTTGAAAACTAAAAGTAAATTCATAATTTTTTAAAAAATGAACTATACCAGAGCAAGCTATTACCATTACCTATTCATTCTTTTAACACTGAATTTTCCTGGAGAATCTAGGGCTGTTTTGGGTTTTTTGTTGTTTTTTTTTTTAAGAGAAAAAAATGGGTCCCTGTAAATGTTCTACACCCTAGGCCAGCAGTGCTTCTTAAACTATGGGTGGCAACGGCCTTAACCCAAAGTTTAAGAAGCACTGAAGGGGTGGCCTAGGGCAGTTACCTATCAGGAGAGTTAAGGAATATGCATATAAAGCCACCTCAGCACTGACACTCCTTGTGATCTGACACTGCAGGCATGTGAATTACTCTTTTCAAAATACTGAAGTCAGGGGCAGAGCCAAGATGGCGGAGTGAAAGCAGCAACTTGCTTGAGCTCTCCCCCAAACCCCTCCAAATACCTATAAAAATGGCTCTAAACAAATTCTAAGGCAGCAGAACCCACAAAAAGACAGAGTAAAACAAATTTCCAGCCCAAGACAACCTGGATGACTGATCAGAAAGGCATATGGCACCAGGCTGGGAGCGCAGCGCAGCGTGGCATGGGCAAGGAGGCCACAGCGAACCTGGAGCAAGACTCAGAGGACTGAAGCGCGGGCAGCTGTGGTGGCTTCCATTTTCCTCAATCCAGGAATGCCAAAGACAACTTAGAAGGTCATGGGAAAAGTCTGTTTCTGCAGTGCTGAGAGAGGAAGGCGGGGTCTCAGCTCCATTCCCCAAGAGGGCGGCCCTGGGGTGGGCAGCTGCTTCCCGAGCTTCCAGCCCACAGACTGAGGGGGAGTGGCTGATCAGAGGGGGACTGCAGGGATCTCTCTGCTGGTGCTGAGACAGGAATCTCTTGCTTTGCCCGTGCTTGGATCTAGGTCACAGCTCTGGACAGGGGTCCTGGGGTGATGAGGAGCGCTGGCACGGTGGAGCTTGTAGTGGCTGTGGACAGGAAACATTCTTCACAGTTCCAGGACAGAAAGCAGTACTTGTGGTCACTAACAGACCATAGCACAGGCCAGGAAAGGAGTAAACACCTCGCCCCTTATCATACCACCTTGCAAGGACTGGAAATTTACGGGTCCCTACAATCATCTCTGGAAACAGCTATATAAACCCCCAAAGATTGGGACAGTACATTCTCCACATTGGAAGCAGACTCTTACCTTAACAAAGAGTTTACAACTCAAGTAACTGGCCAGGATCATGAGCAAGCAGAGCAAAAAGAGTCAGACTATAATATCTTACTTTGGTGACAAAGAAGATCAAAACAGACAACCAGAAGAAGACAACAAAGTCAGAGCTCCTACATCCAAAGCCTCCAAGAAAAATATGAATCAGTCCCAGGCCATGGAAGAGCTCAAAAGGGATTTTGAGCACAAGAGAAGTAGATGAAAAACTGGGAAGAGAAATGAGAACGTTGCAAGAAAATCACGAAAAACAAGTCAACAGCTTGCTAAAGGAGACCCAAAAAAATACAGAAGAAAATAACACCTTAAAAAATAGCCTAACCCAAATGGCAAAAGAGGTCCAAAAAGCCAATGAGGAGAAAAATGCCCTAAAAAGAAAATTGGCCAAATGGAAAAGGAAGTCCAAAAGATTACTGAAGAAAATACTTCCTTAAAAATTAGAATAGAGCAATTGGAAGAGTGACTTTATGAGAAATCAAGACACTGTAAAACAAATCCAAAAGAATGAAAAATTAGAAAAATGTGAAATATCTCATTGGAAAAACAACTGACCTGGAAAATAGATCCAGGAGAGAGAATTTAAAAATTATTGGACTATCTGAAAGCCATGATCAAAAAAAGAGCCTAGACATCATCTTTCAAGAAATTATCAAGGAAAACTGCCCTGATATAGAACCAGAGGGCAAAATAGAAATTGAAAGAATCCACAGATCTCCTCCTGAAAGAGATCCCCAAAGGAAAACTCCTAGGAATATTGTAGCCAAATTCCAGAGTTCCCAGGTCAAGGAGAAAATATTACAAGCTGCCAGAAGAAACAATTCAAGTACTGTGGAAACACAATCAGGATAACACAAGATTTAGCAGCTTCTACATTAAAGGACAGGGCATGGAATATAATATTCCAGGGCAAAGGAGATAGGATTACAACCAAGAATCACCTACCCAGCAAAACTGAGTATAATCCTTCAGGGGAAAAAATGGTCATTCAGTGAAATAGAGGACTTTCAAGCATTCTTATGAAAAGACCAGAGCTGAATAGAAAATTTGACTTTCAAATACAGACTCAAGTGGAACATGAAGAGGTAAACAGGAAAGAGAAATCATAAGAGACTTATTAAGGTTGAACTGTTTACATTCCTGCGTGGAAAGATGATATTTATAACTCATGAGACCTTTGTCAGTATTAGGGTAGTTGGAGGAAAAAATTATATGTATGTATGTATAGGTATAGATAGATAGAGGGCACAGGGTGAGTTGAAGATTAAGGGGTCATATCTGGAGAATAAAATTAAGGGATGAGAGAGATTATATCGGAGAAGAAGAAAGGGAGAGGTAGAATGGGGTAAATTATCTCACAAAAAAAAAAGAAAAGAAAATCTCTTACAGTGGAGGGGAAATGGGGAAGGTGAGAGGGAATGAGTGAATCTTATTCTCATAGGATTTGGCTTATGGAGGGAATAACATACACATTCAATTGGGTAAGGAAATCTGTCTTACCCTACAGGAAAATAGGGGGAGAAGGGGACAAGAGAGCAGGGGGATGATAGAGAGGAGGGCAGATTGGGAAAGGGGTAATCAGAAGCAAATACTTCTGAGGAGGGCAGGGTCAAAAGAAAGGATAGAATAAATAGGAGGGCAGGATAGGATTAAGGGAAATAGAGTTAGTTTTTCACAACATGTCTACTATAGAAGGGTTTTGCATAACTGCACATGTATAACCTATATTGAGTTGCTTGCCTTTTCAATGAGGGTGTGGGGGGAGGAAGGGAAAATTTGAAACCTAAAGTTTTAAAAACTATGTTTAAAAAAAATGTTTTCACATGCTACTGGGAAATAAGAAATACGGGAAATGGGGTACAGAAGTCTGTCCTGCCCTACAGGAAAACAGAAGGGGAAGGGGATAAGAGAAGGGGGGAAGAGATAGAAGAGAGGACAGACTAGGGGAAGGGATATTCAGAATGCACGCCATCTTGGGATGGGGGAGGGGTGAGATGGGGTGAAAATTTGGAAGTAAATATTGAAAACTGAAAATAAATTTATATAAAAAAAAAATACTGAAGTCACCAAACTCACCTCTCGTAATTCCCCAATTCTCCTGAGGGCTTTATCTTGACTCTGGCTCAAAAGACCCTTTAAAAAAAAAAATGGTTCAAAGACTACCATAATACGTCAATGCAAAACAACTCAACCTAAAAGCATTCTTCACACATAACAGGCATTCTTAACTACTCCCTAAACAGTTGTGGAGACAGAACAAAAACTGTTCAAGATGGGATCTTCTTGAAAATTAGTTTCATGTTAAACCAAACTCCAAACTAAATCTCTTCTTCCATTATGACACATTATGACCCATTTGTGCATATTTTACCAGTTAAATACACTGAAGTGAATTTATAAGTGTACAATTTATAAAAGCACAAAAGATTGCATGTGAAATAAACATGAATATGCTACAAACAAGAAACAATGTTAGGAAAGTAGATCATGACTCTCAAGAACTTTTCTGAAAAAAGACTTTCATTAATTTTCTCACAATTAATGAAATCGCTACATTTCTGATGTGATTATAAAACAAATTTTTTATAGAACTGAACCCTATTTTTCCATTAATCTTCAAAATAATTTAAAATACACTTTTAGGGAAAATATTACAAACACAACCAATTTTGCTTCCTGTCAAAAAAGGTACCCTCAGTTGCTTAGATGAAAACATTTTAGGGACAGATGACATCAGGAAAAGAGCTACTAGTTCTGACTGGAGGAAAAAGGGATGCCTCAGTCAGCTGAAGTGAGCCTTAGATGTATACATAAAATGGTAATTCACATAAATGAGAAAAGGACTTATTTTTCCAAAATGTATTTAACAAACAATGTTTTCAGGAAAATATCTATTTAAATAGTGCAGATCCTCTGGATCTGTGATCTCCTAAACTTAGACATTCCCTCCAACAGTAGAGAATCATTTGCCTCCTCATGGACCAAAGCACAGTACAGGGGAAAGAGTCCTGGAGCTGGAGTCAGACCAATTAAAAATCCTGCCGTCCACAGCGACCACACGTGTGACCTTGAATAAAGTATGTCACCCGCGTGAGCCTGTTTCCTAAGCTGTAAAAGGAGGGAACTGGACTAGACGGTCCCTAAGGTCTCCTCCCAGTCTGCACAGATAATCTTAGGATCATGTGCTGTTCTTCTGTGTCCTCCTATAAATTCCCCTCCCCACCCCCAGGGTGTGTAGGGGTGATCCCCCAATACTCTAGTGCTAGATGAAGGCTTTTCTCTATACTTCCTGAAATGAGATGAATATCAATGCAGCCCATGGGCTAGCTATTGGCCACCCCTACCTATCATTACATAACCAATCAAAGATCTATAACTAATTCAAATAAAACTTCTTTTAGCTATAGAAAAATACAGCTAAAGTTAAATTTATTTTGCTTTACAGAGCAAATCCATAACTTCCTAATAGCACCAAAAATCAGCAGCTTATTCACCTTTATTATTTATAGGCTAGGTCCCCAGGATGAAAGTGCACTGAATGTTTGCCCCCAGGTTCGGCAGGAAAACTGGAACACGTGTGAAAGCACACAGGATGCCTGCTAGGTCTGCCATGTCACCATCCCTAACCCAATCCGATCTTCACTATCATAAGCACTGCTGCAGAGAAAGTACTCTAAGGGCTTTTTTTTTCCCCCCAGGCAATTGGGGTTAAGTGACTTGCCCAGGGTCACACAAGCCAGTAAGTGTCAAGTGTTTGATCTGAGGCCAGATCTGAACTCAGGCAGGGCTTTTCTCCAAACACACAAGGTCAGCTGCAGAAGCAGAAACCTCAGGGGAAACCAACCATTCAATACCGAGAGAATACAAACGGAGAGAGGGCCATGATGTGCCTCGGACTGGAGTGTCCGCTTCACTCCACAAGCTTGTATATTTATCTAGGCTGCTTAAAACAGCAAAGGTGTAGACTAAATGTTCCCTCAGAGCTGCTGTGTGGTATGAAACATAAGCAATGGATGATGATGACCTTCCTCCCTTTCTTGACATTATGTGAGCTATCTACAAGGCGACATTCCCCAGGCCCCAGATCCCATTCAGGTCAGTGAACTGCAGAATCCCCCAGGAGGTGAAGCCCAAACCCACTCTCTCTAATTCTTCAATTTCAGTGTTTGAGCCATGAACCTTTGGCTGTGTTATTTTAACCGACAAAAACTATCTTGGAAAAGTAGGGTGAATCTCAGCTTTGTTGGGAGTTTCTAGACATAAAAATTAGATAATCCCTAGGTTATCTCTAGGTACTACCTGTCAACCATAAAATTCTATGACTGTATTATATCTAAGAAATAACTTACCTGTAACTTCTTCTTTTCTCTCTGGACAGTTTGATAGGCAGTAACAAGCTGAAATATGCAAAGAAATAATCATTTACCTGGCAATAAACTTTTTTTAGATAAAGAATACCAGGTATTCTAAAAATATTTTAAAAGTTCTAGGTTGATTGAAAGTGATCTACACATTAGAGAAAGCTTGTTTCTAGCTGAAGAGTGGGGACCCTGAAACCATGAAAGGGGAATCACTCTATAAAGGGCAAGTTCTTTCATCTCGAAAAGCTTCACTTATCAAGCAGGGTTAAGACTGATCTATCTGTAGGATGGCGCTATACCAAGTGATCGCCTGAGGTCCTTTTCAGTACTATGATCTATGACCAAAATTCTATCAGACTGCAATAAGATTTGAGAACCACATTTCATTTCAATCAAACATTAAACGTATTAAGCACTTACTGTGTACCAGGCACTATGCTAAGCAACAGATATAAAAAAAGAGGCAAAAGATGGCTCCAGCCCTCAAGGAGCTTTCCGCCCAGCGGGGGAGACAACGACCACACAACCACAAGCTAATACAAGATGATGAAGAAGAAATCATTAAGCGAGGGAAGGCAACTGAATTAAGCGGAGTGGGGGAAGGCTTCTTACATTAGACGGGATATTCGCTGGCACTTCAGGGAAGATGCCCAGGGGCAGAGGGACTTGTTATGGAACAGCCAGGAGGCCAGTGCCATTGGACTGAAGAGTATGTGGCAAGGAAGGAGGAGTGGAAAAGGAGGGAGTGACTAGGTCACAAAGGGTTTTGAAAGTTAACCAAAGGATTTTATATTTGAACCTGGAAGCAACAGGGAGCCGGGTAGTGCGGAGTGGGGTGCTTTGGGAGTTGTGATGCTACCAGACTGGACTGGGGACAGACTCAAGGATGGCAGACCAACCAGCAACAGCAGCAATAATCTGGAGGTGAGGCAATGAGGGCCCGTGCCAGGCTGGGGGCTGAGTCAGAGGAGAGGAGGGGGCGTGTCCAAGAACTGTTGCAAAGGTGAAATGGACAAGATATGTTAAGGTGAAATGGAGAGGCCTTAGCCACAGACTGGACCAAGGGACCGTGAGGGAGAGGAAGGAGTCCAGGATAACTACTAGGTTATATGCCTGAGGGCCGTGTGGGTGTGGGTGTTGTTGAAGATGGCTACTGGACATCCAGGTCAAGACTTCTGAAAGACAAGCTGGAGACGTGAGACTGGAAGTCAGCAGAGAGGTTGAGGCAGGAAAGACAGATTTAAGAATCATCAGCACAGAGATGGTAATTAAATCCAAGGGAGCTGATAAGCTCACCAAGTGACATAGTCTTAGAAGGAGAAGAGAATAGGGCCCAGGACACAACCCTGAGGGACTCCTAAGGTGAGAGGGTGTGATCTGGAGGAGGATTCAGCAAAGGAGACAAAAAAGTAGCAGACAGAGAGGTGGGAGGAGAACCATGAGAGAGAGAGAAGTGTCAAGAAAACCCAGAGAGAAGAGAGAGTCAAGTACAATGACGCTTGAGAAGAGGCCACTGAATTTGGGAACTAAGAAATCATTAGTTACTTTGGAGAGAGTAGTTTCCGTGGATTGTTAAGAAGAGACTGAGAGATCTGAGCGGAGGCACTGGTACAGGTGGCCTTTTCTAGAATTTCAGCCACAAGGAGCAGAAGAAGAGATCTAGGATGACAGCGGAAATGGAAGGGTGAAGTGGAAGTTTTTTCAGCATGGGCACGTAGGCCATAAGAAATGAGCCAGTAGACCAGAAGAAAGTGAAAATGATAGAGCAGGGATGGCAGAAAAGGCAAAGTCTTCACCAAATGATCATTTGGCTTTCATCCAGGGTTATGAGAAGTTTCCAAAGAGGCAAACTGAGGCTTGAAGAAGTCAATACAATTACTCTGGCAGGCTTTTAGGAAAACTTCCAATCTTTGCTTTAAAAAAAGTCTCCACTAGATGGCAGGAGAGTCACAGGGACATGTCAAGAGGAGGGAAAGGTACAAAGAACAGCATGTAGGAAGGAAATACAGATGGAACTTCTTGGTACCTTGTAAATGTGCCTAGAGCCAATACCTTCCCTTCCCTGCCTCCAAAACACAGGAGAGCAACTCTTTCTTTGGAAAAAAAAGGGTAGCCATGAGAAAGATGAACCCCATACCTCTATGCTCTCACTATTCTGCCCTCGAGAGTCTGGAGTAACAAGAAAAGAGAGGGGAGAGGGGTTGGAACGAGCTCCCTAATTCTAGGAAATGCACTTCCCATCTGATGAGGACCGAGAGTCTCCTCTGCCCCTGCAAGCTACTTGACTGTATCTGAAAAGCTTCTACGTGGAAGGTCCCCAGAAATGGGCTCAAGTTAGGTAGGTGTGACAAACGGAAGATAAAAGAGAGGAGAGATTATGGCTAGGTGACTCATATGGGGCAGGGGGTGAGTAAAGAACATGAGAGGCTAAGTTATCTAAGACTTTTCTTAAACACCAGAAATGATATGTCTCTAGTACATCAAACTGACAGAATTTATTTCAACAGGTTTTTTGAAAACACAACCTCAATTAAGAGCTCTAAAAACTGGAGTTTTGATTGGGGCAAGGGAGCAGGGAGAAAAAAAGACGTAATTTTGGAGTATGAGGTACCTAGGGAAGAGCAGTTCTGGGTGGGATGCCACAGTGGGAAGCAGGATACAAGCAGAGTCCCTGGGGAGCAGGAATGTGGGGTGCAGAAAGTGAGGTGGGGGGAGAACGAAAAGAAACTTGACCAACTTTCCAAGTTTACCCAGGGCCCTGGTCAGCTGGTTTATGCTCCAGCGAACATTGCTTTACTGTCCTCTTTGGCACACTGCCACAGAATGGGATGCACAGTATGCCAGAGATGTGAAACAGCGTCAAACAGCATATGCTAATTACAAAGCATTTGGCTCAGGGCTGGAAACACCAAGACAAAAGCGAAAGTTACACCCTCAAGAAGCTTATATTCTAAGGGCAACCACAGGAAGTTTGTACAATGAAAACCAGCGTGACTCAAACCACTGCTTAAAACAACGAAGAGGCCCTGGGCCTCGTACCTCTGAATATTTGCCTCGGTAGCTGTTTAAGCTTCGTTCCATCCTCCGGACCCTCTGGCAGAGCTGCTCTTTACTGAAACTATCCGCATTTCCCATGGCCTCCTCCGCCTCACTTTCAATGTCAGACGGGGGATCCAACACAGTGGGCGCGTCAAGGTCGAGGCGATTCAGGGACTCTCTTGAGGAACTCCGCACCAGAGATTCTTTTGAAGGGGAACGGAACAAGGAGTCCTTGACTGGACTTCGAAATAAAGACTCCACTGATGGAACCCGGAGCTGGAGCTTCTGTGCAAAAGACTGCGTCTCACTCGACTGCAGGGCCAAATTAGAAGACTGTCATACGGACATGACCACTTTTATTCAGCTGTAACACTGTCAACAATTACACCGTAAACTCCAGAATCTACGAAAATTCTTAATTCTTTACAGAACATGCTATTACCAAACACTGCGGGGCAGCCACGTTCCGCGTGGCGGAAAGAACATGGAACTCCAAGTCCAAAGACCCAACTGTGAGTCCTGACTCTAGCACTCATTAGCTTTGGGACTTTAAGCAAGAAACTTCCGTCTTCTCATCTCTCAACCAAAAAAGGCAAAGGGAAGGGGGGAGGGGAGGAGGGAACGCCAGCTACCCCACAGTAAAGTGTAGAGGTGTGAGAAAGGGCTTTGTAAAGCACTGAAGAAATGGCTACAGTAGAGGCCTTCGATAAACAACACAGCCAAGGAGCTGACGCATCCTCATGGCCAAGGCGTCTTCCCCACTTCGCCACACCATCTCTAGGGTTGTAATTATAAACGGAAGCCAACAGTGCTGGAATGTAAGACAGATACAACGTCTTAGAGATACTAAAAATGAATTGGAATAAACCTAACAATGGCGAAGTACTGAAAGAACATCACCCCCCCAACTGCTCTCACCGGTTTCAGGTATCTCCCCCCAAAAGGCCACAGAACTCTGTATTTCAGGTACTTTGCTGTTGTGTCATTTGCAGTCCTGTCCGACTCTTGGTGACCCCATTTGGGGTTTTCTTAGCAAAGCTACTAGAGCGGTTGGCCACTTCCATCTCCAGCCCATTTTACAGAGGAGGAAAGTGAGGCAAACACAGTTAATAAGTGACTTGCCCGGGGTCACCCAGCTAGTAAGTGTCTGAGGCCAGATTTGAACTCAGAAAGAGGAGTCTTCCTCTACTCCTACTAGCCTCTAGCCACTGCTAGCCACTGGGACGCACAGCTTATTTATTTAACGGATGTTAGCTGGAAATTCATTCTTAGTGCTACAACAATATCACTTGTGAACTCTCACAGAAATCTTGAGGTAAAAGCTCAGTAGAGGCTGAAGTCAAGCATAACAGGAAAACAAAGAGATTCGCTGAAGATAACATTTTTAAAATAAAGCTTTTATGAGTGATTCTATAGAGACCAAATAATGAATGGCACAAGACAGGGAGCAAGAGTGAGAAGTTCCTAAAAATGGATTCGCCCCAGGGAGCATAGCAAATTTCCAAATTTAACTGTGAAAAATTGTGAACACACATGGCAACCAGCATCGAGATTACCCAGAAGGGCCTGAAGAACTGACCGGAGCCCACAGTTTCCCCAGCACTCACTCCTGGTTCAGAAGGCAGCAATGAGGAGCTCACTGTGTATGACAATCACACAGATATTGAGGCTATGGAGAAGCATCCTAGCCAAGCAGAGAGAGGACGGAGTGAGGCAAGAGAAAGCTCGGGGAGCTCAAGCCCACCAATAATCCTGACCCTGTCTGAGCCTTTGTTTCTTCATCAGTGAAGCACAGACAACAATGCTCAAAGTGGCCACATCACAGAGCTGACATAAGGAAGGCTCAGAGTCAAATTTCTGGCCTCCTCTAAGCACTTGGTGTGTAACTATCATTGTGAATAACCTACCAGAAGAAGGTCCACTCAAACCTAGTGCTCATTTCTGAATAGCCTCTAGAGTAAGAAAGACAAATCCATAAAATCCTAAGTTTGGGAGTTAAGGTGCTTTTACCAAAACAAAACAAAACAAACATCTAAATTAAGCAAGTGACCACTGTATCCATAAAAATGTGACACAAAAGCTAACAGGACAAATAAGCTCTTTTAAGAATCATTTTCAGGGGCAGCTAGGTGGATAGAGCACCGGCCCTGGAGTCAGGAAGACCAGAGTTCAAATCCAGCCTCAGAAACATAATACTTTCTAGCTGTGTGTGACTCTGGGCAACTCACTTAACCCCAAATGCCTCACTTTAAAAAAACAAAGAAGGAGAGAAAGAATCATTTTGGAACAGACGCTCTGATAGCCCAATGGGAAAGAATCACCGGAGGACAGTGTTCGGGACTCAGCCTTGGGCACAGCCGCCAGAACCATGAGACTGGATCCCCAGTCCCCTCCCAGCCAACTCCTACCTGAAGAGGCAACCCCTCCTCTACAACATCCTAGCTAAGTGGTCAGCAGGCTTACTGCAGATCACAGAGAAAAGAGATGAAACAGGTGATGCCAGCAGCACTAGAATACAGGTCTTCTTAGACCAAAGGAAGAAATATGCCAAAGGAGAACCTTGCTCTTGCTGGGGAAAAGAAGTACTGCATATGCACACCAAAGTTTTTTATCTGGATGAAAAGCAAATGCAGCAATTCCACTGAGGAAAACTCGTAAAAGGAAAAACTTTAACAATTTTCAGCCTTAAATTTGGTGTTTCGGACAAATAACTTACTCAAGAAGAAAAGGTCCAGGAGTATTGGAGACCAGTTAATGATAACTAATATGGAACAGTGCATTAAAGTATTAAAAATACTGTCTCATAACAATTCTGAAAAATCTTCAAGATCTTATTGTAATAACCCTGGTTTTCGACAAGGAATTTTCTCCTATTTTGCACAAACTGAGTTAAGTTTAATATATAGACTTCACAAGGCAGCATAAGCAAGTCATTTTCAAATATGTGAGCTCTTCCAAATTCTATCAGTATTATTAACTTCATCCGTACGAACCTAAAGAACCAGCCATGCTGAGAGGCCAGATTTTACCACCCCCTAAAGCAGAGCTTCTTGAATTTCTTCTATACGAGACCCACAGTTGAAGAAGTACTGTAAAGCATCAAAATTTTTTGCTGTAATTTGTTTTTATTTTAACCATTTTTATGGAAGCTTCTTTATCCACATTTCCCTGAACCTTTAAAAGCTATTAAACACAGCACTTCTGTAATAACAGCAAGAAATACAAACAAAGTAGATCTTTATCAACTGGAAAATGGTTAACAACTCGTAGAGCAGGCAGGCAATGCAGTATTCCTGTGTTACATAAGAAATGATTACAGGCAATGCAGTATTCCTATGTTATATAAGAAATGATTACAGGCAAAGCAGTATTCCTCTGTTATGTAAGAAATGCTTACAGGCAACGCAGTATTCCTGTGTCAGGAAAGAAATGCTTACAGGCAATGCAGTATTACTGTGTCATGTGAGAAATGCTTACAGGCAATGCAGTATTCCTGTGTTATGTGAGAAATGATTACAGGCAATGCAGTATTCCTGTGTCATATAAGAAATGATTACAGGCAATGCAGTATTCCTGTGTCATATAAGAAATGATTACAGGCAATGCAGTATTCCTGTGTTATATAAGAAATGATTACAGGCAAAGCAGTATTCCTCTGTGTAAGTGCTTACAGGCAACGCAGTATTCCTGTGTCAGGAAAGAAATGCTTACAGGCAATGCAGTATTACTGTGTCATGTGAGAAATGCTTACAGGCAATGCAGTATTCCTGTGTTATGTGAGAAATGATTACAGGCAATGCAGTATTCCTGTGTCATATAAGAAATGATTACAGGCAATGCAGTATTCCTGTGTCATATAAGAAATGATTACAGGCAATGCAGTATTCCTGTGTTATGTAACAACTGATTACAGGCAATGCAGTATTCCTATGTCATGTGAGAAATGATTACAGGCAATGCAGTATTCCTGTATTATGTAAGAAATGATTACAGGCAATGCAGTATTCCTGTGTTATGTAACAACTGATTACAGGCAATGCAGTATTCCTATGTCATGTGAGAAATGATTACAGGCAATGCAGTATTCCTGTGTTACGTAACAACTGATTACAGGCAATGCAGTATTCCTATATCATGTGAGAAATGATTACAGGCAATGCAGTATTCCTGTGTCATATAAGAAATGATTACAGGCAATGCAGTATTCCTGTGTTACGTAACAACTGATTACAGGCAATGCAGTATTCCTATATCATGTGAGAAATGATTACAGGCAATGCAGTATTCCTGTGTCATATAAGAAATGATTACAGGCAATGCAGTATTCCTGTGTTATGTAAGAAATGATGAGCAAGAAAAACAGCAACATGGTGAAATGGATATGAACTGATGCAAACTGAGCAAATACAATCAGGAAATCAACATAAATACTAACTAAAGCAAACACAGACACAATAGCCAAGACTGCTCACAAAGCAGAGACGAAAGAGTGTCTCTCCCCTGTCGCCCTGCCCCCTCTTCTTCACAGGGTGTGGGAAAACTCCACAAACAATGTCAGGCTTGTTGGATACTGGTTAGTTTTGCTGAACTTTTTTCCCCATCTTGTTCTTTGTTAGAAAGGGGTGGCTCTCTGGGAAAGTGAGAAAGGAGGAAAACACTGGGAAATGTAGTTGCTATAAACAGCAAAGAGATCAATAAAAAAGTTTAAAATTTTCTTGGTTTCGGCTAATGTTTTATTTCCAAACAGGCTACTCAACATAATTTAGCATTTTTCTGCTACCTTCAAATCCAACATGACTGCAGAGCTATCACCACTATACTGGATGACCCCAAAATATGACCTCAGGGCAGGCAGGCAGGTCCTACTGAGGGCTGTCAGGGTTTTACACATTACACAAATCTGAGATGACTGGACTTTTTAAGTTATGTCTTCTTAGTGGTTTTCCGTTTTCATCTCGATATCTCTGAATAATCACTTTTAAATATTTCAGCCTGTTTATAGAAGACTCTCAACTTTCATCTGTACCTTTCATATGTTGTATTTTCTCTGTTAGGCTGCTGCAAACAGGAACTGGCTAGGGGCCTAAAGTGTCTCGGTATCAAAAAAGTCCATGAGTTTATTGCAGGGTCTGGGACACAGATCTGGGCTGCTCAGGAACAGCTGGTTGCCAGGGGGCTGAGTTCTGAAAAAGTATGCTTTTATTATACCAGAAACCATCTCTCTTCACTTCCACTAAATCTCTTCTAAACAACCAAAACATTACTGCTTGGCACTGCCTTGTATTCCTTAAGAGCTATTCATTCAAGATTTT